GGAACACTAAGCGCCTTCACCACCATTTACCAGGAAGAAGGCATCCTCGGCTTCTTTGCGTGAGTGCTGGGGGCTGGGGGCACAGCAGGGGGGGTCTCTGCCCACGATCCCTAGGTGTTGCTCCTTGTTCCCTCCCTGAGGGGCTTCCTGGCATGGATCCAGTGAGGCCCCTGCCTCCTAGGGTGGCATTAAGGCAGCAAAAGTGGGGTGACCCCTCCCCGGGATCAGCGGCTGGAGGGAGAGGTTGGATCCGCTCCGTGTGGTCCCAGCTGGCCCTTCCCCTCCCGTTTCCCAACCACTCCCAGGTCACCGTGCAGCTGGATCTGGATCCACCCCAGGCTCACATTCCCTCTTCTCTTGCAGCGGCCTGGTCCCCCGGCTCCTCGGGGACATCCTCTCCCTCTGGCTCTGCAACATGCTGGCCTACCTCATCAACACGTACGCGCTGGAGAACGGGGTACGGGCTGAGCTGGGGGGAGCCTGGGAGGGCTGGGGAGGGACAGGGAATGTTCCAGAGGGGACTTGGAGGTGACCCCCTGGGGGCTGATGGTGGCTTTTCTCCTCCCACAGGTCTCTGCCATGACTGAGATGAAAAGCTACTCCCAGGCTGTCACCGGAGTGAGTACTGCCAGGGCGTGTGGCTCCTTCCCATGGAGCCTGGGGGACAGGGATTCCTCCCGGCATTCCCAAGGGATATTCTGGGGAGCAGGGCGGGGCATCCTGGTGTGCTGCTGCTGAGCAGCGCCCCCTCTCCCTTGCAGTTTTTTGCCAGCATGCTGACCTACCCCTTCGTGCTGGTCTCCAACCTGATGGCCGTGAATAACTGCGGGTGAGTCCGGAGGGGCTGGGAGGACCCCCCTCTGGGTCCCCCCATCCCAGATCCGCTCCCAAAACCACCTTCCTGAAGCTCCTGCTTGGCAAAGAGCTTCCAAGCTCACTGTGGGGTCGTTGGGCTGTGATGGGGGGGTGTATGGGGTGGGCACTGGGATGGTTACCAGCCATCGTGGGGATCAGCCCAGTGTGGAGCTGTGGAGGGGATGGGTCCTGGATGGAAATAATTCCTGTGGGATCTCCCTTCCTTTCCCTAGGCTGGCCGGGGGTCTCCTCCCCTATGCACCCGCCTACGACTCTTGGCTGGACTGCTGGAGCCAGCTGCACAGGGAGGTAAGTGGCTGGAACTGGGAATACTGCCCAGATGTACCGGGAATACTGTCCAGATGCACCGGGAATACTGCACAGACGCAGGGAACAGCCATCTGGGAGCCCCAAAGGGGGCCCACAGCAGGGCTGGGGGCAACCCCCGCTCACCCAGTGCTGACCATCACCCCCTTCCAGGGCAACATGAACCGAGGGAACAGCCTGTTTTTCCGCAAGGTGCCCACAGGGAAGCGCTACGTGTGGGACGAGAGGAGGTTCCGCTGAAGCCGGAGCCGGGAGTTGTTTGGGATCTGGAAGGAAGGAAGGAATGACGAGCGAGTGGTGATTTCTATACAGTTGTGTTGATTTTTTCTTTTCTTTTTTTTAAAAATCACATAATGCTAAGAGACAAAAGGGGGAGTGTGTCCAGTCTGTGCACCCCCCCCCCAGAATTCCCACCGGGAACCTTTTCCCAACCTTGGACCCGGTTTCGACAGAGGAAAATCCCCCCCCTGGGAGATGGAGGCGCCTGGAACTGCGCGTGTGTCCCCTCCTTGGAACCAACCCCTTGGTTGGAAGGCCCTGTACAAATGTCACAGATGTGTCACCTCTGGGGCCAGGGATAATGATGGGGGGGTGGCAGGGCCCTGGGAGGAGAGTGCTGCCCTGGGACTCCACCCTTTCCCTGTGCCTCAGTTTCCCTCTCCCCATGCTTCAGTTTCTCCCCCCTTTTCAATGCCTCAGTTTCCCCTCTCAGGGGTAGAGGTAGGATCGATTCTTCCCCCTCCCAGGCACCACGAGGGGCTGGTGACAGGGAGAGGGACGGTGGCACCTCT